GTAAGAAATCAATTACTTTTTCCTTACTATGAAATAATTATATTCTTTTATTTTGACCATCATATACAAATACCATACGTGCAACGTATTGCGTCTATCCGGGTCCCCACTGGTAACCTGTCGAGACGCCATCGGTGAACGCTCGGAAACTGGAGGATTATTTAGTGCCAAGAATGTCAAAATTTTCACCTTATGCCGCAAGAAAATACTCTGCACGAAAAATCTTCGGCTACCTCACGGGCGTCTTGACAAAAGAGAGTCATCGGCCGGGGACCTATAGATACAAAATTGACAATTTCACCCCGTTTTCAGATACCGGTACCCCATTGTGAACGTTATCGGGCTGAAATGTGACGCAGGCTTATATATCGCTATACTGAAAAGATATTTCCTAATATTGCAAATTTCTACTTGTGGCAATTTTTTTTGAAATTGAAGAAGAAATCTGCTATTTAATGCAGGTTTACATGTCATCTGTTTAGAAATGTGTGTAGAAATCATCCTCCACAGCAACACATTTAATAACTGTGAAATGAAGTATAACGATGTTAATCATATGGAAATTCTCAATAAACCGTTTTTTTGTAATTCTAGCTTAAAGTTAAATCAAAAGTACATGTATAAGCATTTCCAAAAATGCCAGGAATCGCCGTTCAGTCAGGTGTTCAAAAATATTTTTATGAAAGAACAACAGAGCTTATATGTTTCTTCTTTTCCGAATATTCTTTACCGCACAGGAACCTACGCACTGGTTTCGAAGTTTTTACATGAATATAGTATTTAAATTCTATTATAAGTAACCCAATACAAACATGGTTTGACCCGTAGGCGCCCCTTTTTGTTACTTCGTTATCATGTGGCATTAATGAAGTGTTTTCATAATATCCTTGTTACTGGGTGGCATTAGCCTGAGGCCAAAGGTCGAATGCTAAGATGACAGTCTAAAGCTCAATAACAAGGCCATTATGGAAACACTTAATTATTGACAATTTTATTAATTAACTACACATAATCTAAAATAGTTATGTTAACAAGAAATAACTAATGTATAATATTGTTGAAGTGATGTATTGCTAATGAGATTATTGTTTTAAAAATGTCTCGGAAACCCACCATGCAGCAATTCAAATTGCGGCTTTTTTCAAAGAAAAAAAAGCAGATTTGTAATGGCCAAGCAGGAGAGCCAAACAAAATCATCCGATCACATTTCTCATAAAGGCCATACTTTTTGAATATAGCCTTTTTTATGTTCATAATGTCGTGGTGAACTTCATATTAGCTATGGTGGCTGATTTGTGTCATTCGTGTTTTCGCCCTGTGACCTCGCCAATCGAAAAGTTGAGAATTAACAAGTTAAAACGGCGGAGTCGGGGGACGAAAACACGCTAGCCTTACATTTAACGTGAAAACGTGCCTTATATTGAAATGTCTATTCTAATTGTCTTAGAGAAGGCGGTGTACGGGTAGAAATGGTCAAATCTTGTAAACGATGACAATAAACACTTGCCGAAACCCTTATTTAAAACCGCACATTTTCCCACCTCTTTAATATATTTTTCCAAAATAAAAACAATCTTACTTTACTCTGAGAATGAACATTTATTTTTCAGAAGCACTTTTTAATCTCCACTGGACCGGAGTATAGATATTACAATTTAATGGAAAATGATTTTGTATTTAAGAAGTATTCGTGAATACAGGTTTACCAGAATTTGTTCACCCCGATTTTAACGAACTAACAGCATTCACTTCCGCCATATTACAAAGCAATTCTTTCGAAGTATTTGCAAATGTTTTACATTGAAATTGCTTTTAACACCAACTGAATAATGTAATTTAAAATGTCTCAAGTTACTTGATAGCACAAACATTAGCAAATTTTGTTTTTCCTTATCGAACAAGGAAAATCCGTATACTACAAAACTGATTAATAATACCTTCTTTTTTTGTTGCAGTATGAAATTCAAAACGGCACTTAATATTATTATTTAGCGTATGTTCATTTATTTATTATTACTTTTGATTCAAAACATCTAGCTGCGATGCAATTCCTGTGAATGAAAACAAACAGGGCAAAATAGCGGACGTCTCGATTTGTTTGCTTATTTAAAATCATAATGACATTGCTAGAAAAGTACATGTTATGTAACCAAAATCTATATTGTTTAAACGTTGACAAATTGTTGACAAACCCATTGTAATTGTAACTTTTTTGTTCTTTTTCTGTTTTTCTTTAATGTTTGGTCTTATATGACAAACACAGTATAGGTCATATGGCGACTTTCCAGCTTTACTGCCGGAGGAAGACCTTAGGTACCCTTCCATGCACGAACGGACACCTGAGAATAACCGCCGACGTTCCGTAAGCTCGGGGTAGCTTCCTCACATGAAAGAATCTAAAGTCCCATGTAAAGTAAATGTAACGTTACGTAAATGACATCGCCAATATCGAGTGCGACGTCAAACAGCCATTACAGTTCACAAATACAGAATGGAACGTTGCCTCTTAAGATAGTTAACGAGAGAATGCTCCAGTGCATCAGCACTATGAAATCTTCAGGTTTCATAACAAAAAACAATATTTACTTTATAAACAGTCCTTTTGAAAGTTATATGAAAACAAGACGAGGTTTTACATAATATAACATGATATTTTCTGTCATATGAGAATATTAGCGCTTATGAAAGTATTAATCAAGTGACATTATGATAAAAAAAACTTCATTGTCGAGTTGAAATGAATTGGCTATCTATTTAAAATGATTGACTATTATAATGGTCAACAAACATATCACTTAATTTGTGAATACAACAAAATATTATTCCATTAATGTAAATACAACACACATATCATTTAATATGTGAAAACAACACACATATTCGTTTATATGTGAAAGCAACACACATATTAGTTTATATGAAAACATTTGTGTAGGTATTGAAATCTTATATAATTATTAGATGCAAGCAAGGTTTTGTATGAGAAAAGCTCAGCAGAAATATATGAATACAAATCTATATAAGAAGAGATTTTCATGTGTTATATAAGTTGGTACTTTTAACATTACATTATACGAAATGATTGAAAAACAATTGGCGAGGAAATTAACGTTTTTTCACGTATGTGCATGTTAAAACATAGAACACTCATGTCTACATGCATTTAGGTATAATAAAAGCTTAAGCAACTTTTTGAGGTTTCCGGTGTAACTTAATAAACTGACCCCCATAAAATATGACTCCCTGTCCATACTTTATATTAAACAAGGACCCCCGGTCTTTATATTACACCCTGGAAGTCATAATATTATGTCTCCCCTACACGTAGAAAAATGACCATCGCATAGAAGAGTGACCCCCTGTAGAATAATGACCCCAGCCCCAACCCAAACTATAAAGCCCTTACTGGATTTGTTTTAAAGAAATACTTTTAATATAATTATCTCAGATGAGAAATATGGTAATGTCATTTTAGTCCGTGCGTGTGTCCGTGCGACCGTGCAACGATTCGATCTACTATAGGACGAAATTGTTTCAAACTACTATAGCTACTATAATCGAAGCCCTGCCTCAGTCTGCATTTTCTACAAATGACAACGGCTAGGGATATGTTATTCGACTGCAGTCATTGTTTGTTCTTATTAGCTCGGCTATAGAAGTATACGCAAGAGCTGTCCTACCGCCTCGACGTCTGCGTCTGCGTCCAGATTTAAGATAAACGTTTTGGTGCAATGAAATATCTTTCACTATAACTTTTTCATTTCTTATGGTATCAACTTAAAACTTCAAATATATGTTTCTTTTCATCAACCACAAGGTTCACCAATCTAGTTCCAATATTTTCAGATTTATCTCTCTTAAACTTAGAATTTTCCTTAAAAATATTTTTTTAATTGTTACTTCTTTATTTATTCAGGAATAAACTTCATACTTCAAATATATGTTCCTTATCATCAACCACATCTTATGTAACAAGGTTTATAACTCCAGCACCAATATTTCAAGAATTATCTCACCATTAATTTATACTTTTTTACAAATGAATTTTTTTTAACTATAACTTCTTTAGCTTTAAAAGTATCTACTTCAAACTTCAAATATATATTTCTTATCATCAACCACATCTTATGTGACAAGGGTCATAACTCTTGAAGCAATAGTTTTAGATTGATCTCCCCTTACTTTTAAATTTTCTTTAAGAAATATTATATTATTTTTAAGGTATCCACTTCAAACTTCAAATATATATTTCTTATTATTACCCACATGTTCTTAACTCTAGCATGACTATTTCCTTAGTAATTCCTCCTTGAACTTGGAATTTATATTAACAAATGGTATCTTTTACTATAACTTCTTGTCATATGGATAAGAGTTACAAAACGCAAGCTCCTGTATTCCCAGAATTATCTCCATTTCGTTTCTGAACTTAGAATTTAATTGTAAATTGATTATTTAGTATTATCTTTGTTATTATAAATTGTATCTAATGTCATTAAACATAGTCCTTTTCCATGCCTCAATCGCCTTTTAATAATAAAAAATGAAATATTTTGCCGCCAGTTACAACTTTTTTTTAAATGAGACCGTGAGCCACTTTTTTTTATTTCAGACCAGATCACCGTCTCCAGTTTCAGAATGCTTACATTACACTGCACACATGGTATACATATAATGCTAATATGCCCTTTTAATGAGAAAGCAGGTATCCATAACAACATCAACCGAAGTCCGTTTAGCTCCATTTTTCAAAAATGCGTTATGCAAACGCAATTCAACGAAAAGTGTATTAAGGTATTTTGCCAGACCGACATTATAATGATCGAAAAATAAAAAAAATATATTGCACAGATAATAAGCATCCTTAAACAGGGACGTTAAATGGTTTTAAAAGTTCGCTATTCTTTTAAGGTTAGACGATTTTGCCGATTGAAAACTATAAACGATTTAAGCAGGTGATGTTTTTTGGTGAACAAAACGAGAACGTGGGTTTATATGGCGTTAACAGATACTGTTACACTATATAAACCACACCTGTACCAAGTTTCACAGATTTAAGTTGGGCTCTTCTTTGAACATGGAAATATGAAAGTTTCGAGAGTGATTCTGTCCGTCTGTCTGCTTCTACAAGCAGTGCAGGTAAGACTTAGGTTTCTATTAATAGAAATAAAATACCTATCTATTTTGCAAACGAAAAAGTTAAATGAGGAAAAATTAATATATAATGTTTCTTCAACTATGCTATGTAACATATTATTTCTAGTTATGTAAGGTGTTATTTAGATTAATTTAAAGAAATGTGCATCGAAATACCTTCTTCATAATCGAAAATTTGTTAAACATATTCAGGATGTTGTTTTTTTTTTCTCTTTTAAATTTTGAACTTGTGAACGGTTTTCAAATTTCAGTGAAATTTAATATCGTATTTAAGATAATAATAAGTTGTTTTAATTTTTGGTACGGCACAATTTTGAGAGAGAAAAAAATCAAAGTAACACAAATGGTAGTGCGGTGATTTTGTAATGTAATTTTGACTGTTCTAGTCAAGTTAATTGCTACTAGCAATCTCTGTTATACATGTAGGAATATATCCGCTAACATGCTAGTTTTGTCCTTTTTTAGGAATTTTCATTTGAATGTAAAAATAAGATAAATACCCTAGCTTGTATTTTGTATTGATTATTCTATGTATCTCATTATCATACATGCATTATTAGCAAAATCAATAAAAGCTTACAATGAACTCGTCGTCTAATACAAGTATTATGTTAACATCAATTGTACTTTTTTCATAATAGTAAAAAAACAGAGCATTTATTATACTGTTTTATATTTTTATAAAGAATGCAGGTAAAAACCATTGATTTTGACATTGCATACCCTTATACTGAGCCCATTGCTTTAACATAGATTCAGCTACAGGTAATCGGTGAAAATCAATCCCTCGCTTTATGATAAGAATGATGAACTGGCCGTTAAAGCAATCATAGAATTACTTGTTATTATCAATGACAATTTAAGCTTATTTTCTCAAAGCGAGTTCCAGTAATCGTCATTAATTTATTTCCGTAGAGGAGATTCTATTTTATACAAAAAAAGAGTTGTTGTCTGATACGTTTTTACAGTTGCAAACACAATTTAATGGAAACAAGCAATAACTTAAAGTGTGCTTTTAAAAGATATTCTATCCTTAAAAGAACTATTCAAGTTCGTAACGTAAAAAGACATCCAATGTGAAAGTACAGCAAAAAAAATGTTTGCAAAAAAAAAAAAAATGAAACGAATTTTTGTTATTTCACTCCAATCATTTTTTTATTATTTTATTTTACTATTGCTTAAATTCAATTTATTTTGTCTCCACTGTGACCATCATTGACATATCTTTATCATGTCACGTGATGTATTATGTCATGTGATTTTCCCTTTTAAATTGTCATGTAATATACCCTTTTAAAATGAGATTGGCCAGAAAATTAGCGAAAGGATCTTCGTGTGCCGGAAAAATAAGACAAATTTATGGCACTACCCCTAATAAAACAGCCACCGGAAAATCTTTGCACCACCGGAAAAGTGGCAAACTTCACTACCATTTATACTTGCCCTAAACACTTGAAAATCATTTCATCTGATAGATTTAAGGTTAGTTATAAATAATTGACTTCATTCAATGCTATTTTAAATTTCTTATCAAAAATTGTATTTTAATAAAATTGATCGGGCGAAATTTCATGTCTTCCGCCCGGAATTATGCTGTCCGGGCGGAATTACTTAAATTCCAATTGGATAATTTCCAACATTTTTATTTATTCCAACGGGAATTTCAATTATTCCAGCAACCCTTGAACTATAAAATTTACCATAAATACATCCTTTAATGAGTTTCTGAATAATTTTGAAGAACTTATCCGCTAAAATAAAAAATCCCATTTTGAAAGTTGGAATAAAAATCCGACTGGATTTTTACATAAAATTTTAATCAGTATATCAACGATTATAATTAAAGGCAAATGATAGTTTTAGATAAAAATTAACATAATTATACACGCTGAATTACCAATAAGGTAAATTGGATTTATTATCCATTATTCTTGTTGAAAAAAAATTCCAACTGGAAAAAATTATTGGAAAAATATCCAATTGGATTTTCCTCAATTGATTCATTTTCAAATGATTCGACATTTATCCATTTGATTTACTTTTGATAAGAAATTACGAATCATTTAAAACCATTATGATTAAATAATGATAATAATAATAAGGAAGAAGAAGAAAATTCCATGATGCGATTATAATCTGTAGAATCATTACTTTTATTCATTATTATTATTATCATAATTATTATTATCATTATTACTATTATTATTTGTTTTATTATTGATGATGATGATGGTGGTGTGGTGAAAATGATTATGATGATAATGATGATGATTATAATTCTTATAAATATTATTATTATTATTATTATTATTATTATTATTATTAATATTATTATTATTATTATTATTGTTATTCTATTTTATAAACATTTGTTTGCGAAGTTTCCTGTATAATTTTTATATACTACCAATATGTCATATGTTGCTGCAAAGGAACAGTGAATACCCATTTTGGGATGGTTATTCGTGGCTAAGCGGTTGAGGTCGTCCTTGACTTCAAATCATTTGTCCCTAACCGCCTAGGGTTTGAATCCCACCAGGGACTTCTTTGGATTCTTTAATGTAAGGAAGTCAACCAACTAGCTCACGGAACGTCGGTGGTTCTACAAAAATGTTCGTTCATGCTTAAAATAATGCACGAAACGGCAACTGAGATCTTCCTCCTCCAGTGAAGATGGAACGCCGACATATAAACTATACTGTGTCGGTGTGACGGAAAAGCAACTCGAAATTAAAAAGAAAACATACGCTAAATAAGACGAAAATACCTACCGAGTCACTATTCAGCAATTCTAATTACAATTTAAACCTCCTTCAAGAAGTGCATTAACGGGTGCTTAACCTCATATAGAGCTCAAAATTGAGCTTCGGCAAAAGAGCATGTGTGAAATTCCGTTGTTTAAGATGTGCACTCTAGCACTATATTTGGTAGAGATTATGTGAAAGAGATATAGGTCAATCACAGGATAGGTTTTCAACCTTTTAAACATTATTGAAGAAAATCGAAATATAATTCTACCCTCCTAACTTCTCTCAATTTACATATTTTGTATCTGATTTTTATGCAGTCTCTGTCGAGATATTATTTCCGTTGGGGTTATAATGCGTTCAAAACATGCAATACGAATAACGAAAACGTAATTGAACGCCGTATCAATACATCTGCGGATGTTTATTAATTCAAAATTTCATCATTTTATACTTAAATGTTGAATTCTGCTTAAGCCTGTACTGAATAGGGCGATAGTTCTGCAGTTGACAGTATGAAAAGGCTGAATCAAACTGAGCTTGCAACATTAAGTTGATTTTCAACTCTACGTCAGTATCAACATGGACTTTCTACCCTAGCTATAATAGATACTCTTCAGTAAGCTGAATTTATGTTATTTTTTTCTCTATGAGTGATGTTATTCTAGCTCGACCTGTTTATAAACTAATCTTTGTGATCTTTATGGGATTTTTCCTAATTATCTGACTTTTCTGAGATATATGTGCTTGTAACTATTATATAAGACCTACTGACAGATGTAACTACTTAAAATTCCTTTACTTTTCTTGGAAGAATAATTCATCCCTACAATAAAGTGAATATTCCCCAGAAATCGCTTCATAAACAAAGTCCAGCATAATAACAATCAATGTGCTGGAGGGACTGCAGTTGGGACGTACTAAAAGGATCAAAATTACCATTTTTACTTTTTCGTGGGCGGATAATTCAATGAGTGAATGGTGTTGCCGGTTGATAAATATAAAATGCACAATTCAGTAAATTCACAAAAGTTGATACAATTATTCTATGACATACATGTTCAAATATAAAATTTAGGTAACATGTACAGAGAGGTCCATCACAAACTGTTATTGGCCCTTTTGACAAGGGAAAAAAGTGAAATAAGAGCTGCCAAAGGAAACTGCTAGCTGGACTATTTTTAACACATGACACAATAAAGGGAGAAAAAAAAATATAAAAAAATAATCAATTATGATATAAATATATTTCTGTATCAGTATCAAGAAAACACTCAGATGGTCAATATTTTTGCATCACATTATATATAATTCTGTGGCCATGTCATTTAAACTGATGATGGCTTTTGTACACTGCACTTCTCATGCTAATATCTTTCACTGTGTGAAGTTTCAATCAAATTCCTTTAATATTTTAATCCTCTCTTTTTCTTTAATATTTTAATCCTCTCTCTCTCTCTCTGAACAAGTATCATGAAATTATATAAACGGAGATAATTCAAAAGCTAAGTAATGTAGACTTTTGGTTATTTTACACAGCACTTCTGCTCACTAATCTCTACAACTGTGTTGAGTTTGAGTGAGATATTTATTTATTTAAAATTTTGATGCATTATAAGAGATGATAATTGTAAAATTAAGCTAGGAAAAAATATGGTTCTTTAAAACTACACTTCCTTTCACTTGAATGGTTTCGCTGTGTAAAATGTTAATCAAATTCCATCAAATCTTTTCAAGTATTTCTCTGGACAAGCATTATTAAGTACATGTATTATAAAGGGAGATGATTTAAAAACTACGGAATGCAGTTATGTTTTTTTGACACTTTGACAAATTCGAGTATGTACAACTGTGTGTAGTTTCAGTGATAGTTTGGAAGTAGAACTCCAAATAAGCATTTTTAACTTAAAGGGGATAATTAAAGCATAAAGCAAGGTAGAGTTATGTTTCTTAAAAACATTTCACTTCCTCTTAAAAAACTCTATCATTTTGTGAAATTTACATAAAATCCCTTCAATACGTATCTAGTTATATTCATATTCCGGACAAGAGTGTGAAGGACGGACGTCTTCCTAAGTTCATAATGTGGATTTCTTTTTAATCATTTAAAATCTCAAAAACACCATAAGAAACATATTTCCTCCCATAAGCAACCTTTTTCCCCCACAAGTACAAGTCTGTACGGAATGAACACTGATATTTATCCATAATATTACTTGAGTCCATACAGACAAA